GGGGCTCATAGGCAGGCCGGAGCGGCTCTGACCCAAAGGGAATCCTCAGCAGCAAGAGCAGTTATGTCCCAGGCGGGGATCAGAGCCAGAGTCCAGCAGAGGAGACCCAGGTGGGTATTGTTGCCCGTAGGAGCGGGGCAAGCCGGGCGGGGATCATCGCTGGGAGAAGCAGGTGGGGCTGTCAGGCTGCTCCCGTGGGGCAGACAGGTCCTGCCTCTCCTGCTGGGCCATTTTCAGTGGGTCCTGGGCTCCCTGAGGCTGCAGGGGAGGGAGGAGCCGTCTGTTCCCTCCTTACCCCCATGCCCCTGGCTCTGACAGGACCCCCACCACGGCCCCCTCTGTTTCAGGCACGCCCAGCAGGGTCTCCACGGGACCCATGGGAAGATGCTGAGCTCTCGCGGTGCAGGCTCACGGACCATCATGGCTTTCGGCAGTGAGTCACCTGGGCCCTCCTTCCTCCATCTCAGGGGGGGGATTGCATTTGCAGGAATGCCTCTCTGGAGGCAGGACCCAGCTCCCCAGCTCAGGGCTTCGACCCCTGGAGCCCTCTGAGGGCCAGAGTCTGGCCTGGGCTGGATCTGAGAGACCCAGGAGGCAAACCCAAGAAGTGGACAGGAATGGAGCTGGGCCTTGGAGGAGTGGCCGCCATGCCTACTTCGGGGAGGCCCCGTGTCTGCCTCCTGCATTCAGACGGTGGGTCCAGTCAGTTCAGCAGGGGCTCCAGAGGGTGAGGGGCTCTGGGACAGTGGCGCCAGTCTACTTAGCGGGCAGCTCATCTGCTGCCCCCTTTTCTTGTTCCAGCAACTTCTCCAGGAGACCCGGAGAGCCGACAAGTGGGAGAAGATGCTGCGGAGCTGGGAGCACTACCGGGTCAGCAAGGAGGTGGGGCGCTGTGTGCCCGCAGACGGCACTGTGTCCCGACAGAGGAGGGGTACGGCCCTCAGCCTCCCCCCAACCCCATGAGAGTCCCCCTGCCTGGGGAGAGTCTGCTGACCGAGCCCAAGTCTCCCCAGGCTCAAGGAGGACACCAGAGGGGCCAGCAGGTCAGGGTCACCGCCCCCTCCTCCTTGTGGGAGACCCAGCCGCTCTGGAGACGCCATGGAGCCAAGGCCAGAACCTTCTAGAGGCCTCGTGCTCCGGGGACCCGCGGAGCCGTCCCTGGCCTGGCTCAGCAGCGCCGCCTTCTGTCCTGGAGATGCAGCGTCGGCTTATAGGGGGTCCCTCCACAGGTGCGCGGTCAGCTGTGGGCCCTCCTGCTCGATACTGAAAAGGTGAAGTCCACGAAGCGAGGGGTCTACGAGGTAAGCCCTTCCACCCCCAGCAGGCCATGGCCCTTGGATGAGGCCTTGGCGGGAGCTTGGGGGAACCCGTGGGGAGAGGCGAGCTCAGGCCCCAGGCTGGTCTCAGTCCTGGAGGACAGGCCCCTGTGCGGGGGGAGGGGAGGAGCGTCGGGCCGACCATCGAGAGTCCCCTCCACGCCCAGGGCTGCTGAGCTCCAGGCCTGACGCGGGCATCACGGGCATCGGTGGGCCCGTGTGCGGGGCCCCGGCCTCAGAGACAAGGGAGGAAGGCGGTTTCTGCCGGACACACTCATGGGGTGGCTAGCGGCGCTCCCTCTTCGGAGGGCAGCTGGGGACAGTTAGGGTCCCGTGTCCTGAAGCTGGCCCCTCCTTCCCGGTTCTGCCCACAGAAGATGACGGAGCAGGCCCAGCTCTTCTCCAGAGACATCAGGCAAATTGACCTGGACGTGAACCGGACCTTCCAGAACCACGTCACGTTCCGGGACCGCTATGGGCTCAGGTGAGGCTGCGGGACAAACAGGGCCCAGGGCCCCAGGGGTCAGTCCGGGGGTCAGGGGTGGCCCAGGGAGCTTCTGGGTGGGCAGTGCGGGCTCTCTGAGGAGAGGGGGCACGTTGGCAGCAAACACAACCCGGCCGTAGGGAAACCTGCTCGGGATGACCCAGCGGCCCCCTCCCCGGGTCTGCGGCGACGGGGAAGGCGCCGGGACGGGGCCTCGCGGCGTCCCTGGGTGAGCGGAACCCCCAAGGTTGGCGTGGCGCTGCTCGTGAGGAGCCGGCGACAGAGGGCGGGGGCCGTGGGTGGGGGCGCTGCGGGGCTGGGGGCCCGGCAGCACAGACTCGGCCGGACAACGACACACACGGACCGATGAGGGTCGCCCGGCTCGAAGGGACAGCCGCTCTTGGTGTTTTTCTGCACGTATCTGCATTTGATGGTAGATAATTGACACTGTTTGTACAGATCAGTGGTATGATGAACCCCCAGATGCCGTCCCCGGTCCAGCCCGGCTCCTGTGCTCACCACATGCCACCCCAGCAGCAAGTGTGTCCCAGCAAAGCCCAGACCTCGGGTCGACACTGTCTAGAGTCATCTCAGTATGCGCCTTAGAAAACGGGGGTCCCCGATGGATGTGTGCCCCCCACACCGGCTCCAGCCTGCAAGGATTTAGTGCAGCCCCTTAGTGTGCGGACGGTGTTGGCGCCTCCCCGGCCCCCGTCGGGGTCTCTGGATGGTCCGTCCTCCTCAGGAGCCCGGGTTTGGTGTTGAGCCGCCGGGTGTGGGGGAGACCCTGACGATGTGGGGGCCTAGCGGGAGGGGCGGGAATGCAGTATGCGCCCGGACCGGTGGGGTGCAGCCAGATCGCCATGGGAGGAGCTCTGTCTGTGCGGCCAGCGGCTGGCGGTGTGCTTCACAGCACGGGGCCCCGGGGAGGCCGAGCTGGAGGCCAGGAAGGCCGGTGCCGAGGAGCCGCCAGGCAGGCGTGGACTGAGCCTTCCAGGGGACCGTCCCCAACCCATCTCATGAGGAGACGTCGACATTCCTCCACGGAAGGGGGTGCCTTGTACCCCGGAACCTGGGTGGCCCCTGCGTCAGCCTTGGCCCTCAGAGGGCGGCCGCGTCACGGCTGACCTGTGACACCCGGTCCAGGGCGAGCCAGCCTCCAGCAGCCTGAGGCCCCCAGGCACCACCCCAAACATCCATCCCCCTGTGACCACTGCGCTGCGTGCCTCACACAGAAGGGCCCCAATGTGAGGGCGGGCCCTGCCCGGCGACACACCTGGGCACAGGATCGTGAGGTTTCTATAATGGCCTCTCGGTAAATATTCTCCACTTCAGCCGATCTGCCCCCGACCTCGAAAGCAGCCTGTTCCTTCTGTGCACTCGGGCGCAGCGACATTCCCATGTGGGGTTCCAGGTTCAACCCTTACCGCGTTACAGGGTGGTGGTAACGCATTCCGGGCATTGGAAAACCAGAAGCCAGAGGGTCAGGCCGTGGACATGGAGGGGGAGGCTTGCAGCGGAGAGAAAAGGGCAAGAGAGGAATCGTGGACAAGCTGGAGTTTATCTCAATCACAAACGTGCCCTCTGCAAAGACAGCATTCAGAGAGCAGGGAGGAAAGCTACAGAGCGGGAGAGATATTTGGAATGGCGCATCTACTGCGGGGCCCTTGCAGACCGAGAACAAGCAGCTCTGTGATCGAACACATGACCCGGCACACAGTGGACACAAGACCTGAACAGACACTTGAGCAAAGAAGATGCGCACGCGCGCGCGCACACACACACACACACACACACACACACACACACACACACACAGGCAATGTGCATTCATCCAGGGTGTGTGCGGGGACAGAGCTGAGCCTTTGTACCACCGCAGGACACCAGCGCCCGCCACACGCCCCTGTCACGAAGGCTGGGGGCAGGGGGAGCTGGGGTGCAGCGTCATGCAGCCATGCTGGAAGGCAGGCTGGCGGCTTCTTATAAAGCTGAACAGAGCCTCACCATATGCCCCAAAGTGCTCACAGTTATCGACCCAACTGGTTCGAAATCTTTTATCCAAGTAAAACCTGTGTGAAGGTTCTGTGCTTTATGCACGACGACTCAACCTGGAAGCACCCAAGCTGCTCTTAGGTGAACAGACACTGGCAATCCAAAACGGGGACTACATCAGGGACACACAGGACCACGCTACGGACGCGCTCGATGCCATGGAAGCACCTGGGCTGCACTTGGCTCGGGGAAGGAAGCCAGATCGTGTGGTTGTGCTCACGGCACCAGGAACAGGCCAGACCACGGGCAGGAGAGGCCTCGGGGGCTGCGGTGAGCGGTGCAGGGGGAGCGCCTGGCCACCAAGGGGCCGTTCAGGGTGGGGCGGCAGCCCCAGGGCTGGAGGGGTGAGCTGGGGGCTCAGCAAAAACCCAGGAGCTGCCCATCCCACAGTGGGCGTTTTCATGGAGGCAAACGGCAAACAGCAGAATGAAAATAAACTCCATCCCACGGTATGTCTGAGCTAGCTGCCGGTCATTGTGTGGAGACCGGACCCTGTAGACTCGTCAGCCACCGAGGTGTGCTGAAGACCCAGGTCCGTGGGGCTGCGTTCTGCACCTGGCCGGCCTCACTGTGCGGGTTGCTCAGACAGGAGCAACCCACCCTGCTCTCCCTTTCCTACGCAGCAAGCCCTGTCCCATGTGCTCTCGGCGTATTCCATCTACAACCCCGTGGGTCTCCCCGCCGCCAGGCCTGCTGCCCCGCGGGTGCCCTTCGTCCTGAGGATTCCTGAACAACCAGGACACAGGACTCCAGCTCCCATTGTCTCAGGGGCACGAGGGAGGGGCTCTCGACTCTAGGACTGAGGCCAGGGCTGGGGTGCAGACCTCACCGGGTTGAGGAACGGCCCCTGAGTCCCGGAGCGCTGGGGCTGCCAGGTAGTCTAGCGAGCACCGCTGTTGCCCTAAAACTCGGGGATCGATCCTGAAGGGACCGAACTGGGAATCAGAACCTGAGCAGGGAGGGAGGTTCCCGTTACCCTGACCTCCACCACGTTGAGGTGGCCACGTTCCATCGGGGTTGGCTCTTGCAGGAGGTGGGCTACTGCCAGGGCATGAGCCAGATTGTGGGGGTCCTGTTGATGTTCCTGTCCGAGGAGGATGCATTCTGGGCGCTGGCTCAGCTGATGACCACGGAGAGGCACACCGTGCACGGTAGGAGCTGGCAGGGCGCCTGGATGGGACCTGGAGGTCGGGACGGCATCCCTGCAGGGCAGCTCCAGCAGCAGAACAGGCCAGGACCCCCACCCAGCCCGCCTCCCCGCCGGCAAAGGGCACTGCCTTCCTGGGGGCCCTTCGGGGTCCTGTAGCCTGGCCACTGGCCCCACCACTCGCAGACCATTCTCACATTCCCGCGGGTCCTGCAGCCTCCTGCCTGGCGGCCGGCCTGCCCCCCAGTCCCCCTTCCAGCCCATGGCCAGACAAAGCCAGGTGGCAACATCTACGGCTCCCATGGCCCCAGCCTGGATCCCAACCCAGGAGATGGCCCTGCACGCCCCCATCACCCTCCCCGTGGGCGGCACTCCCTGCCCCTCAGGGCTGGGGCCCTCCTTGCCCGCGCTGTGACCACCACAGCAAAGGGTTGCCGGGTCAGCCAGTCGTGGTCCTCAGCCCGGGGCCCCCACCCAGCGGGGTCTCTGCGAGGAGGAGTGTCCTCTGCCCCTGCCCCTCGAGGCCTGGCCATAGTCCTGCTGCCTGGGAAGAGCAGGGCCAGCCAGGGCTCGGAAGGGCTGTGGGCACACTCTGCAGTCAGGGCATGGGAGAGGAGGCTCCTGCCAGGGCTCACCCCCCACCTGGTGCGGGAGAAAGCCCTGATGGTTGGGGGGCCTGGGGCCTTCTCAGGCTTTTTCATTCCAGGGCTCCCCAAACTGCTAAGGTTCTGGGCCCATCACAACCTTATTATAGCGCAAGAGCTGCCGAAGCTCAAGAAACACCTGGCAAGTAGAAGCTCCCCGGAGGCCCTGTCTCCAAGGCCCGGGGCCGAGGTGGGGGGCGAGCAGAAGCCTGCCAAAGCAGCCCTGTGCTGTTCCTTCTCCTGCGGGCCCAGGGGCGTCCTCGGGGCTGAGCGGGGCTGTGGAGAGTGTGTCCACCTGCCTCCATGGGGCCCTGGCCCAGGGGTTTGGGCCGCTGGGTGGGTCCTGAGCACCTTCCACACTTCTGTCAGGACAAGGAACAGATGGGCACTGGCATTTACACCTCCAAGTGGTTCCTCCAGTGTTTCATCGACCAGGTAAGGCCATCCAAGCTGACCCAGTCCCTGCCCTGCTCCACACCCCTGGCCCCCAGGGAGGCCCCAGCTGAGCCTCACCGTCCAGGACAGCCAGTCCCAATCCAGAGCCCCGAAGGCTGAGGCTCAGCCCAGACCCATCCTGGAGAACCCAAGAGGTCCCTTTGAGGCAGTTCCCGCAAACTGGCTATGTCAACCTCAGCTCCCCCTGGGAAGGCCAGGTCAGCCTGGGGAGTGGACAGACCCTCGCCCCATTCCGCAGCCAGCCTGGAGTCCTCTAAGGGCCTGTGGCCCCCGAGGGTGGGGCAGAATCTGTGGCCCCCAGGTTTGCGGGTCGGGCTGGCCACGCCCTTACCCCCGGGGTCATCTGGAGCCCCCACAGGAGGGACTGGGGGGCCTCGTTCGATGCAGCCAGTGGGTCCCGCCAAGGCTGCCCCTCCCACACCTGCTGTCCCCACAGACCCCCATCTTGCTCACTCTGAAGCTCTGGGATGCCTACATCCTGGACGGGGAGCGGGTGCTCTCTGCCATGGCATATACCATCCTCAAGATGCACAGCAGTGAGGGAGCCCAGGTGTGCCCGAGGCGGGCAGGAGGGGCGCTGGCCCACTTCCCGAGGAGCGAGGAGCGTGCAGGCCTCGGTGAAGAACAGAGGCCGGCAGGGGGCCAGCGGGGCACCCCGCAGAGGAGCAGCCTGCGTGGGGCCTCCCCCTGCCATGGCTCTGCCCGCGGCGCTCCTGGGACAGCTGGACCCCAGCACATATCCCTGGGAGGCACCCTTGGGTGGCAGGGTGGGGTCCCTCTGGGTCTGACACACCCATTGCCCAGAACGCCTCCTGAAGCTGCCCCCGGAAGGTCTTCGGGAGTTTCTGCTGGACACCCTGGCCCAGCCCTGGGCCCTGGAGAATGAGGTGGTGCTCGGATACCTTCGGGCCTCCATGGCCCAGCTCCGAAGGATGAGGTGCGACCTGCCCCCTCCAGCTGAGCTCAGGGCCCCGTCCCCTCCCGATGCACCTTCCTGGGCCGGCACACAGTGGACAGAGCCCCTGGGGCCTTCCTCCTCATGTCTCTCCCTCTCCTCTTCTGCTCCAACCTTGGGGAACCCAGGCTGGGGCCGGGCGTCCGGGCGCTCACTGCAGTGGCTGGGCATCAGCACCTGGAGGGCTGTTGTCAGGGGCAGGCCAGGGTGGAGCCACGAGCACACGCTGGGCCCCAGCCAGCTGGGGACAAACAGCCTGCTGGGCACGCTGACCCAGCCTGCCTCTTTGCAGCCGGTCCGGAGGAGTTCCCCACGAAGCCCCTGGGCCTGGAGCCAGTGCCCTTGGCGCCCAAGCCCCGCCTCCCTTCTTGCGTTGAGACGCTCCCCAGAGTGGACGGGCTGGCCTCCCCAGGCCCAGCCACCCAGCATGAGCAGCCGGGACCCCTTCCCGGCCAGGCCATCCTCAAGGCCGAGGAGCCGCTGCAGGAGGGAACATCCACGGTGCCCTCAGCTGCACCCCTGCAGCCAGGAGGGCCCAGGGCCCAGCTTCTGGCCCTGCTGCCCCCAGCTCAGGACCCCTAGCTGTCCCGGCTGTCCCCACAGCAATGGGATTCCCTCCCCAACCTCCCAGTGCACCAGGAGGGTGCAGGCAGGTGGCCCCAGACATGGGCTTGAAGCCGCAACACTGGGTCCCCTTCCGTTCAGCCCCTGCCTGGGCCACCCCAGTGGCCACACCACAGACCAGGCCCCGGAATGCCCCTGGGGCTCCCGGGACGGAGTCCCCCCAGCCCAGGAAAGAGCAAGCTGTGGGCCCAGGACACCCTTCCTGCCCTGTGGCCACTGCAGCTCCTGCCCCTCTTGGGGGAGTGACCGGCACAGCCGAGACACAGCCAGGACTGCCTGGGCCAGCAGCCCCAAGGCCCCGCACCTGCCGGGACCGTCCGACCTCCGCGTCCACAGGGCTGCTACATGCTCCCTGGCCTCTGGAGCAGAGCGTGATGCTGAGCGTGGGGGCCCTGGGGCTCTGGGCAGCCAGCACCATGCCCTGCCTCAACACACTGGCCTTCCTGGACAGCGGCAACCCCTCCAGGAGGCACAAGTCCCTGAGCCGGGGGGACCTCAACTGGCCTGGCCCCAGGCCCTGGCGGGGCAGAGACGACACGAGCCCCCCCATGAGCAAAATGAGGATGGATGGGGAAAAAGCCCCCGTGGCCCTGGCCAGTCCTCGGTTCTGGCCCAAGCCTGGGCGAGCCCTCTCAGAGCTCTGTGTGGCCCCCTGGGACCTGGGCATGCCCCACAGATCCACACCTCCGACCTAGGGCAGCCCTGGGAACCACAGGGCACCCCAGCTAAGGCATGGCAGGTGCAGGCCGGTGGGGCCCCCTTCCCCTCCCCCACAGCAGGAGGCAGGTGCCACCAGAGGCTGGCTCTCCAGCAGTCGCCCAGCAGCAATGGGCAGAGACCAAGGCCATACAGACGTGCTGGGACCCTGCCCGGGAGCCCCAACGCTACAGCTCCAGCTCAGGTCGGCCATCCTCAACACCTGCCTCTTGGTGGCCCCAAACTCAGAAACGTGCCGCCCCCTGGAGTCAGCACAGGCTCCAAGGTGGGGGACACAAGCATCCACGCCCCCGTGATTTCAGCCTTCCCCTAAAGGAGAAGCAGGTCTCCCTCCCCAGGGGAAGGCTCGCACCCTTGGTTCTGAGCCCCTTTGCTGTTGAAAGTTCAATAAAGCGTTGTGTTATAATGGAAAGCCGGCTTGGTCCTGCGGCCCCAGAGCTGTGCGCAAGAGGCGCTAGACAGCCAGACAGCAGAGGGTGGCTGGGCCCAGGCCGCCCCACCAGCCCCTACAGGGGTCCCTGCAGAGGGGCCTCCAGGCAGACAAAGCTGAGGGTCCCAGGTGCCTTCCAATCTCGGCCAGACGCCAAGGTCAAGACCATCCAATAATTTACTGCAACTCAGCCTGTGGCCAAAGGGCCAGGACGGGGCTGGGAGGAGAGTGACAGCCAGGGTGCCGGTGGCCTCAGTTCAGCACAGTCTGTGCAAAGCGTCCTGGGAGGTCTGTGGTCACTCTGTCCAGGGAGCCTGGGCGGCCGGGCTCCGGTGGCGCTTCCTTCCTTCCTTCCCCTCCCCCTTCCTCCATCGGCACCTCCTCCCGGCATCCGGCACCTCCACGCCCCCTGCCTGTGCTGCTGGGGCACAGAGGGCCTGTGAGGATGTCAGGGGGGGCCTGGAAGGGACGTCAGGAGAGCAGGCACTTGCAGCTCATGCAGCCGGGGCCACCCTCGTCAGGCGGGCTCAGCTTTCGCACCTTGTGCTGCCGGATCTCTCGCACCAGCGTGTAGAAGGCATCCTCCACGCCCTGGGAAGAAGGGACTGGCTCAGAGTGGGACTCGGCCTGGGGGCCTGACAGGCGAGGGGGACCAAGGGACCCCAGCCTCCAGCTCATGCAGAGTCCCCGCCCTTCCCCTCCCTCTCCCCACCCCGACTCCCACCCGTGGGCAGCCGGGCCCTGCTCGTCCCACAGCCCCAGGGCTACCCCCATCAGGCAGCTCGCTCCTCAGGAGCTCCCCCACAGGGCGGGCCCTCGGTCTGGCTCCCAGCTTGAACACCCCGTGCCCCACTCCTGCCTGACCTAGCAACCTTGTCCCCACTGGCCCGTGAAGGGGGCAGGGCCAACAAGGGCCCACGGGGCTCTCTGGGGGGCCGAGGGGCCAGGGCCCCAGGGTCACCGCTCCGGCCTGGCTCAGGGCAGCTCTCTCCAGGGACCTCCGCCTCTCCCTGGAGCTGTGTCAGCCCAGACCCTGGGCCCCGGCCTCCCTCACTGCCCTGCCATCCGGGGACACTTACAGCGCTAGGGGCCGCTGGGTCACGGGGGTCCCGGAGGGTCCCAGAGGGTCCCGGAGCTGGAGCCAGAGCCAGAGCGGCTGCCCTGTGTGGGGGGAGAGGGGGCAATGAGCACTGCTCCCTGGCAGGGGTGGGGCGGGGCGGGTCCCTGGCTAGCTGTGGGGTGGGAGGCCGGCTCACCTGGCGCGTCTTGGCCGACGTCTCGATGTAGGGGATGCCATAGCTGCGGGCGAGGTCCTGCGCCTGCCGGGACTCCACGGTGCGGGCAGCCAGGTCACACTTGTTCCCCACCAGCACCATGGGCACGTCATCGGAGTCCTTCACTCGCTTGATCTGCTCCCTGCAAGGAAGAAGGTGGGAGCCAGTCACTGAGCTGCAGGCACGGCTGCATCCAGGACCGGGCAGAGAGACACAAGGAGAAACAGGGACAGGGAGGCCCCCGAGGGCCGGCCAGCAGCTCACCGGTACTGGTGGATGTCCTCGAAGGACTTGGTGTTGTTGATGGCAAACACACACAGGAAGCCTTCTCCGGTGCGCATGTACTGGTCCCGCATGGCGCTATATTCTTCCTGGCCCGCCGTGTCCAAAATGTCCAGCAGGCACGTCTCGCCATCGATAACCACTTGCTTCCGATAGGAGTCCTGCAGGAGGACAGTGCTTCAGGGCCCCCCCCCCACCTCTCCTAGGATGGGGCGATCCAACCACCAGCCCCTCCTGGGCACCTTTCCTGCCCCGACCCCAGGTCCCACAAGGAGGGGATGCCCTCCTATGGAGCACACAGAAGACAAGCCCACATCAGGATTCAGGGCTGGGGACAGGAGCAGCAACACTCACCTCGATGGTGGGGTCATACTCATCCACGAAGTGGTTCTGGATGAGCTGGATGGTCAGGGCACTCTTCCCCACACCTCCAGCACCCACCACCACAAGCTTATATTCTGTCATCGCTCCTCAAGGGATGGAGCACAGGGCACTGTGGCGGTCTCCTGTCCCACCTGCTGAGGGAGCTGCACTCAGCCATGGCCCAGCCACGCAGAGCAGGCCTGTTGACCTCCCTGGGCTGGCCCGCCCCACCCTCTGGCCCCAGACAACCAGGGAACAGGGGAAGCCGCCAGAATGGTGGCCCAGCTGCCCACCTGTGGCACCTCCAGCCCAGGGGTGGGAGATGGCCCCCACCTCCAGCTGCACTTATGGTTGTGAGAGAGCAGGGAGCTGGCCCCCCAAAGGCAGAGCTGACAGCTGAGAGCATCTCCCAACCACGCACCCAAATTAGAAGTTGCTGGGTAGGCAGAAAGCCTGAACTGGAGGCCCTGCAGGCTGAGGTTACCAGTCCCCTCCCTGCAAGAACAGGTCTTGCCACAGTGGAGCGCACAGCAGCATGCCCAGGCAGGCCAGTGCCATCCTACAACCCGCTCCAGCCCCACCGAGCATGTTGCTGCTTTGCACAAGCATTTACTGAGCGCCTACTGCATGCCAGCCACTGTTCCAGGCTCAGGGTGACAGGCAGAGAAAGAAATCCCTGCCCCTTCTCCAAAGAAAAAACGGGCACACGTTAAAATAAGGAAAACCCACGGTATCCTGTTACCATATGAGCTTTGGAGAAAAGGAGGCAAAGGAAGCAGCCGGGTGCGGGGGGGGTGGGGTGGGGTGGGGGGAGAGGTTCCTGGTAAGCAGACAGAGGAACAGACCCAACGGAGGTGCGGAGCGGGAGTACAGGTAAGAAAGAATCAAGGCCTGGGCCAAGGCCTCCAGCCGGGCTGTCCCAATCTGTGAGGGTTTACGAGGGGGTGCCCTTGCTCTTGTCCCCAGACAGTGGACAGTGATTTCCTAACCCTGACTCGCCTGCTGTGTATCGTGATGGCCGCCTGGTGCCCGAGCCCTTGGGAGCGCGCTTTGTGACTAAAGGGGGGCCGCAGCGGACCTCGGCTCGGGGGGCCCCCCGCACGCTGCCCAAGAGCACTGCTGGGGCCCCACGGAGGGCAGGGCCAGGGACGCGGAGGCACGGCGCCCCCGCCGCCGCCCGCAGTCCCGGCCGCAGCGCCCTGCCCGCCCGCCCGCCAGCCCGCGGCTCACCTGCGCCCCCGCGCGCCCCGCCGCCGCCGCCGCGCCTCCAATGCCCCGAGCCGCAGCCCGGGTCGGGGCCGCCGCCCGCCCCCCGCCCGCCCCCGCCGCACTCACCGCTCACTGGCGCGACTGCCCTCCAGGCCGGGGCCGGGGCGGGGGCGGGGAAAGGGGCCGGGGCCGGGGTGCGCGGCTCGCCCAGCGCATGGGCTCCGTCCGCGGAGGGTGCGGCTCCGGCTGCGGGCGGCCGGGCGCGGGCGGCGGACACTCAGGGACGGGGGGGGGGGGGGGGTCGGGGGACGGGCGCACGCCCCGCCCCGCGCCCGTCCGTCAGCCTGGCGCGGTTTGCCATTGGCCGCGGGCGCCGGGCCCCGCCCCGGAGCCGTCCCGCCCCGTCCCGCCCTGCTCCGGTTGGCCGACCCGCCCGCCCGTCAAGGGCCGCGGCCGGGCGGGGCTTCCGGGAAACGGCGCGGAGGGCGGTGCCGGCCCTGGAGGCCCTCGTGGGCCGCGGCCTAGGGGGGTTGGGCTCTGCCGGGCGGGAGGGCGGCGAGGGCGCGGGGGTCGCGGGTTCGGGGGTGACGGCTTCTCCGGAAAGGTTCCGGACTCTCCCGGGGGAATAGAGGCCCCTTAGGAAAGCGGGACCGCGGGCTGTTGTAGACTGGGGCGGGGTCGCTGCGGTCCGGCTCAAGCCCCTGCCCTGCCCGGGAGTGCTTCGCCCCTCCGCGACGCGCAGCCCACCGAGGGGACCCCAGAGCGGAAGGGCCCGTCCGGGAGACGAGCCTCAGGGAGGGTGGAGGGTCAGCACCGCGGACGCCCCCCGGGCTGGGTGGGGGGGAGCCTGGAGCAAAACGCAGAGGCCCCCGGGACGAGGGTCAGGCCCCCAGAGCAGGCCCGGGCCGCGCCGGAAGCCTCTGGGACCCCCAGTGGCCGGAGGTTTGACTGCCCTACACCATTCTTCCCGTCAGGTGGCTCCGGAACGGGCGCCTGCCCCCGCCCCCCCCACTCCCAGGACACCTGGCACCGCGGCGTAGCCCTTGGTCGCGGCACAGCCGGTGCGCCCAGGGCCAGACGGTGCAGGGGCGTCTCGGCTGGGCGGGCGAGCGCGGGGGAGGGGTCGTGTTTGAGCCCACGGAGCAGCGAGACAATCATTTTATCCTGCATAGGGGGTCTTGCTTCTCTCCAGCGCGCAGCTGGGCCCGGGGCTCCGAGGACGGACCTTCTCCCGCACCCCCTCACCACCAGCCTCGCCCAACTTGGGCAGGCCCTGCAGTCCGGCCCACCCAGCTGCCCGCAACCCAGCGGTTCCAACCCTGCAGAAGCTTACCGTGTGGCCCAATTTAACAAATGGTACCCAGCAAATCCCACCCAAAAGTTGCTCAAGGGGGTGTACTGAAATCTCCCCCATCCCAAACACAAAAGCACTTTCAAAAAGACATGGTTTTAACATTTTTTTAAATTTCAAAGTAGTGCATAAACACACCCTTCTTATTTACAAAGACAGAATGGTGCATTACACAGAAAGCCCAACCTTGCTTTGCTCAGACCGGTACCTCCTCCCATCCCCTATCCCCTCCCGTGCCGGCTCGGTGCTGCTCTCTTAGAGCTCACCCCCTGCAGGCCGTGATCTTGGCGGACCACCCCCCTTCGGGGGCCGCCCCCGCCCCCACCACATCACCGACCCCACGTGCGGTGGCTGTGTCGGGTTGGCGGTCCTGCGCACTGCGCGGTGGCTAGAACAGAGCCGGGCTTGCGCCTGACGCGCATTGACGCGAAGTAAAGGCGCATAAATGAAAGCGGGTGGTGGCATCCCTCGCGAGTGTGGACACTCCAAACTCCCCTCCGGGTGTCCAGGTCTGGATTTCCCTCGTCTTCAGGGGGTCCTTTACCACAGCGCTTCCTTTTGTTTTGGCATCGGCCACACTTGGAGGCGGGGGTACATCCCTCAAGGCCAGGGCCTCAGGGACAATCCTCCCAGCTGGGAAAGGTGGGCGCTGGTCTCCACCAGACACCGCCTTTTCAGGGGCTGACAACTGGCCAGACTGTCCGGCCCCCCGACCCCCGCGGCTTGATGGCGTCTCACCTCCGCCCCTGGTTCCCTCCCAGCCCACGATGCCCCCCGCGTGGGGCCCTACCCTCCGGATCCCAAACCGGGTTGGCAGCTGCCCCGCCCCCGCCGGCCGGCCCTAGCAACCGTTGCTAAGGGGCGTGGCTCGACCGCGGAGGCACCGAGATTCCCGCGGCCTCATGAATATTTGAATATTCAAATGATGCCCCGTTGCCATGGTGCCCAGGCCCCGCAACCCCGCCACCGGAAGAACGACCCCGAGTCGGAGTGAGCGCCCGGCAGTGGAGGGCGCCCAGGGCCGTGGCACCGAGACCGACCCCTCAGGTGAGACCCAAGCACGCTTTTGGGCCTGGGGCCTCAAGCCTCGCTGTATCTCTCCCGTTCCTGGCGGGAAACTGAGGCCGAGGACGGGTCCTAGGATGAAGCAGCAAAGCCAGTGGGAGATTTAGTGGTACCCCTAGATGTCCAATCTGGTCCTCCAGGGGCGCTGCCCACAACCCCTAGCCGTGCTCCGAGGGGTTCCCAGTCACGGGATAGGACTGCACTCAGTCCTCAGCCCTCCTAGCCTTAGCTGATGGACACTCCCAGGCCCTGCCCCTGCGGGGGAGAGGGAGGCAGGGACCCAGACTCGGATCTGGCAGTTTCCATAGCGGGGACTGAGGAGGGGACTCGGAGAGCTGATGAGCCAGGCCAGGGGCTGGCATTAGCCTGGGCTGTGGGGACAGAGAGGCCCACAGGTCTCCAACTTGGGAGGTCTGTGGGGCTCCCAGAGTGGCGGGGCAGGGTGGGCCCGAGCCATGAACAGACAGTCCCAGCCCGTGCATGAACGCCAGGGGACAGTGCTTACAGCTGCAGCCACCAACCCAGGCCCTGCTCCTTGGACCCTGAGACTTTTGGGCTAGACGGGACCAGTGTGCTGGGCCTAGTCAGCGGTAGGAGGTCGTCAGCTGCCGTTAGGCGCAGAAAGAAAGGGAGGGGGCTTGGCCCTTAGTGCTGCCCAGAGGCGTCCTGAGGCTGCAGCCTGACTGGCCCATACTCCAGGACTGACGAGCCTGGGATGAGGGTGAGCAGCATTTCCCAGGAGGCACGGTGGTGGGGTCCTCCTGCCAGGCTTGGGGCTTTAAACCAGCTGGAGGAAGGCAGACAGCAGAGGGAACTTTTGGAAAGAAATCCTGGCTGGAAACCCTGTGAGTCTATATGTTGGGGCTCACCTGCATGGCTTTAACCTCCTTGGATCCTCAGTATACAGAGGCACTTTCCAGATGAGGCCACTGAGGCACACAGAGCCCTGGGCAGCTTGTCCCAGGGCTCAGCAGCTGCTTCCACTGCCTCTGTCAAAGCCCAGATGGCCCCTCTCCCAGCCCTAGGCATGACGGAGAGGATGCAGCTTGAATGTGTCCAGGGGGTTGAGAGATAAGAGCAGTGCTAGAATGTGTACCCCCCACACTCACTGATTCCTCCGGAAAATACTTCAGAGCCCCTCTCTGTGTGTTATGGACACAGGCATCCTGCCTGCACAGAGCCCACATTGTCTTGGGGTGAAGTGCTCACTCAAAAGAATGAGTTGTAAAACACAAGGAGTCAGACTGATCAGGAAAGTAAATCCAGGAAGGGCAGGAGGCAACTCAGGTGCAGCAGTCAGTGAGGCCTCAGCCCACGTTGGAGGGAAGTGCCCAGAACATTCCAGGCAGACTTCTGGCTCTAACCCTAGAGATGATTCCAGGGTCAGGGGTCAGGCCAGGCATCTGCATCTTTAAGGAGCCATGCCAGTGGCGCCTGTGTGGCTCGGATGGTTAAGCATCTGCCTTCGGCTCAGGTCCTGATCCAGGGGTCCTGGGATCGAGCCCCGCATCGAGCTCCTGGCTCATCAGGAAGCCTGCTTCTCCCTCCGCCTCTGCCTCACCCCCGGCTCATGCTCTCTCTCTCTCTCTCTTTCTCTCTTTCTCTCTGTGTCTCAAATGAATAAATAAAATCTTAAAAAAAAAAAAGGGAGCAATGCCAGGTGAGCCTCGAGGAGGTGTCCAGGGACACACTGGACAACCTCCCTTGGAGCCTGAGGGTGAGGGGGCTCAGGAGGGACAGGGTGCCAAGGAGGCCAGCCCATGACAGACAGTCCAGAGTGGCAGACCCGGGACCCCTTTTGGAAAGAGAATGGAGTCAGTCACCATCTGACTGTCTTTCTCATCAGCCAGTCCAGGTCCCCTATCTGACCTGAGGGCCAGTGCCCACACTGACAGCCCCAACCATCTCCACAGCTGCTCACTTATGGGCCCTATAACCTCAGCCTGGCCTGTCCCAAGTCCCCTGGCACAGGGACCTGGCTGGGATGCCACCCCAACTCTCTCCTACAGCTGCCACCTGAAGACCCATGCTGCCCCCTTATCTGGATGTTTGACCCATGGTGGGAAAAGGCAGCTGCCTCCAGGTGAGGGGGCTCAGTGGGCATAGGGGTGGGGGGGGGAATGCTTGAGAGCCTGGTCCTGGGCCCCCAGGCTTGGAGATCATTGGTGGAGAGGCACAGCACTGGCCCTGAGCCAATGGCTTGCTGATGGTCACAGCTGACGGAGCAAATATGACCTGGGGCCAACTGGCCCCCCTCAGGCACAGAGCCTAGGCAGGACCTCAGATAAGGAAGCTTGGAACCAGCACCCTTGTTGTGGACCTTGGAGAATGAGCAGAAACACAAGGAGGTGACCCGCCCAGACCCCAGTGGGGTGTGAGCTAAGGCTGAGTGGGCGATGGCGAGGCCATCATGAGCCCCCAGGCAGGCTGAGACTAAGTGAGTGAGAGCCCCATCAGAGTCAGGCGGGATGAGCCCCAAAGGCTTGCTGTGCGGGGTCCCAGCTGCAGATCAGAGGAAGTGCAAAGGCTTAGTACCTTTGCCCTCTGCCTATCCCAGCAGGTTGGGTGTGAATGGACCAGGCCTGGGACAAAGCCCACGGGCCTCGGCCAAGCACGGCCACTGTCCAAGTGCGGGAGCTGAGCTGGCAAGGCCTGCACAACCCCCGCCCACGGAGCAAGGACCCAGGCAGCCACAGGGAGCAGCTGGTAGAGGAGTGCCTGTCACCTGCCCGACTGGTGAGTGCTGGGGGGCTGGGGGCTCAGGCCTCGGGGGTCCACATGGGGCACCACTGCAGGGTCGATGTCCGGCCTGCACTCAGTCCTTGGCCCTCCTAGCCTTGCCCGGCTCATGGACACTCTCAGCCCTGCTGTGTCCCCGGCACCTGCTCCACCCTCGCGGCCCACCGCAGGTGCTTAGTGATGCAGATGTCCCCCAGGCACTCAGGAATGAGCCAGGCAGGAACTCCACAAGTGTTTGCCTGGTACACATTGTGTGCTGGGCTCCGTGAACCACTCCATGAACCAGAGAAGCCCCTGGTTCGAGCAGCCATTGTTCTGGTGGGAGGCAGAGCGGCAGACCATGTGCGTGCATGGCACATAAGATGCAAACCGCCAGGAATAAACGAAACCACATGCAGAATGAGGGAGCCCTGCCATCCAGGGCGGGCTGGTTAAGTGGGGGCCGTTCCAGGATCCCACTGACCGTTATCTGGGGCAGCTGGTGAAGGCTTTCTCCCAAACCTGCCGCCCCCCACTCCCACCCAGCAGCCCACCTAGATATGCAGAGCCCCCTTGAGTCCCGGTTCCCACCCAGCACCCACTCTGGGCAGCTCTGCACCCCACCCACTGTTGGCCATGCTAAGGCCCCACCAGGTACAGGCACTGCCCAGGCAGCCCTCAGGCCCACAGCACCCTTGCACAGGGTAAGAGGGTGAGGTGCCTGGGGAGGGGTCCCTTGGAGACCCGAGGGTGACATGCTCACCAACATGCAGAAGGGAGCCTAGCTACCCGAGGTCTCTGCCCATCTTCCTGACCAACTAACTCACAAAAACATCCACACTGCCTGATCAGTGAAGGGGGAAGAGACACTCCTTCCAGGCCCCCCCCTCCCCAGACTCCAAGCTGGCTCCTCTGTGCGTGTGGCCCTCCAGCCATGCCTACAGGCCCATATCGTCCCAGGGTCTTGGTCCAGCATGGAGCCCATCAGGACGGCCCTCCCACCAGCTCCTCAACAGCCCCCCACACTGCCCCAGGGGACAGAGACAGGCCCACAGCTGCAGGCCACCTCTGTACCAGCCAGCTCTGGGGTCCTGTCCCTCTGCACATATGAGGTCTGGGTTCAGACACAGCAGGTGGACTTGTTGGAGGGGCTGGTGTGCACAGAGCTTGGGGTGGCCCTCCTGGGGCCACAGGGAGGCCAGGCTGCACTGACAACAGCCTGACCCTGAGAGGAAACTCTGGGCACTGTCTAACCTGTGCACAGAGCTAGAGTCTCCTCTACTGGACAGAGCTGCTGGCTGGGGACAGAGCTCCCTGCCCCGGACAGCGGGACAGGGAGGGTCCAGCCTGGCCATGGCAGGGAGTGCCGAGAGCAAGGTGCAGGTAGAGCAGGGACCCCTATCACACCCTGGCTGGACCTGGAGGTGGGCCTAGCCTTGTCACCCCCCCAGTACCACACACCAGGAGCCAGGCCAGGAGCTGCAGACATTCCTGGTGTTCACTGGAATCTGGTTCATTTCCTTTTCATTTTGTGTTCATTCGTGGGAGACAGTGCCCAACAGGGAGTGTTGTGCAGGAGTATGTATGGTCACTGTGTCTTCCTCAGATGGATGGTAGGATACCACCCCCCCCCAGGAGATGTCCCTGCCACACAGAAGGCTTTGTACAGCCTGGGATCCCTACAAAATCAGGCCAGGTGGGGTGCAAACAGTATTGTGAATCTGTCTCCTCAGGTCGGCATGGACGCCCCTTGTCATACTCAGGGCGGCGCCCACCTCAGACTGCTCCTGGGTGAATCTTGTTGACACTAAGGCGCCCTGTGGCAGTCCTTGGCAGGTTTCCTTCCCCAACACCTTGGCCTGGTGCGTTTCTGTATCCCATATGTCATCTGTGTCCACATATCGCTGGCCACAGACCACCCAGGCTCTGGCTCCAACAACAGGTTTCTGTCCCCAGGCTTGGGATCTGCACTGGGTTCCCACTGGGATCCAGGCTAAAGGGGCCACATGGGGCTGCCCTGCTCGTGGTCAACACCTGGGGGTAAGCAGCAGGTGAACCACAGATGCACACTTGAGGGCTCCCTTGGCCAAGTCCAGCATGGACAAGGCCACCTGCTCTGGGGTCTGTGTTGTCACTGGCCGGGGAACAGACACACAGTTCTAATTCAGGGGAAGAGTGACGATTATGAGCAATGGCCCACCTGCCTCCACATTCAGAGCCTTCACACCCCCAAGTCCCCACTAACCACACGGCAGGTGAGTCTGCGTCCTGGGAAAAAGTGTTTGCATTGGGTGCATTCAAAGAAGGACCCAGGGAAGCATGAAGAGCAGTGTGGCCCTCACAGCCAGCCTGCAGGGTGGGAACAGCAGGGTAACTCACCAGCCTCTCCCCCTTAAGAAGGAAGTCTGATGGCACTGACACCCACTGGACAAATGTTTGGGCGCCCTGTGCTGGGAACACACTTTGATTAGAGATTGCTCTGCCCCTGTGTGGCTTCTGTCCATCCTGGGACCTCCTTCCTTCTCCGCCTGGCTCCTGGCTGGAGAACATGGCCCCAAACACTGTCGTTTCGGATGATCTCCGTGAACCCCAGTCCAGGCCACAGCATGCTGGTGATCAGAGGTCCACAATCACACGTGCTTTTCAACACGGTAGAGTCCAGTCGATGCCGGGTGCCAAGAGCCATACCTGCGATGGTGTCTGGACACAGTTCTCTCTGCAGACTCAGTCACTGTAAACAGGGTCACCAGCTTCCCGGAGGCCTCCCCTGAGAGCCCCAGAGCCTCTGCAGGTGCATGGAGCAACCTGGCTTGCTCCCCGAGACGGACTCACTGGGTCATCCTACCTGCAGACCTTCTCAGCTTTTTGTTTGGCTGATTGGAATTGAGAGACCACTTTATTTTCCAGACCCACAGGTTCCAAATCTCCTGGGCTCTCTCCCTACCCTCTGAACCCTGTGTCTCACAGCACCTTATCAAGTGAAGCCAAGCCTACTCTGCCCACATCATGCTGGCACCTCTCCGCTCAATATGACAAGTTCCTCATGCATGTTTTCTGCCATCCAGGCTGCCCCAGGAGACAGTCTCAGGAGACATCCCATTGCCACAGGACATGGGCATCTGTCCTTTTCAGCCCCAGCAGCGCTCACATCAGCCCTCAACCCAGTCCTAAATCCATTGCTACACTGGGGCCTGTTCCGTGGGTCTCATTTGGACACTGGCACCCCTCAGGCCCTATTCTGCAAATAGGCCCACCAGCCAAGCACAGTTACTAGCTCTGCTCACATCCTGTGCCCTCATACCCCACCAGACAAGCCATCCATGGCTAAGATCAGCATAGAGGAGGCAGGGAAATGTCTGCCACCTGTCACAGCCTCCCAGCCAAAGGCGGGGACGTCACTGGGAGGGAGGGACCACTGTCCAGTCCCCAGGGCTGACTCTTCATCAATTTCTGCAGCGGGCCCTGGCCCAGGTAGATGACCTTCGACTGGTGAACATGCTGGAGATGTGTGTCAACACCCATGAGAACAGCCTGGGGAACTTTGGTGAGAGCCCCTCCCTGTCCACACGCTTGCCACTGGCAAGCTCCAACTTCTTTCTGAGGGCCCATCTGCTCCAGTGCTGCCAGCCAGGCTCTGGTCTGTGCACCACTGCACTCCACGGGCCTGCCTTGTACCCCACAAGTCTGCCTTGCACCCCACAAGTCTGCCCTGAGCCCCACGAGTCTGCCCTTTGCCCCACAAGTCTGCCCTGCACCCCACGAGTCTGCCCTGTGCCCCATGAGTCTGCCCTCCACCCCACAAGTCTGCCCTGCACCCCACAAGTCCGCCCTGCACCCCACAGGCCCACCCTGTGACCCACAAGTCTGCCCTTCACCCCACAGGCCCATCCTGCACCCCACAAGTCTGCCCTGCGCCCCACAAGTCTGCCCTGAGCCCCACAGGCCCATGCTCCACCCCTCTTTAAGGGATCAGGACTGTCCTGCAGGGTCAGTGCCTGTTCTTCAAAAGAGTCTAACTCAGAACACTTTGCCAGGGGCTTTGGCGTGCACGGAGACACCGGCTAGAGGGTTCCTGTGCTCTGGCACCCAGTGCTGCGAGCTGATGGAGGTTATGGTCTGGGTGCCTGTGGCCGGGCTTGGGACGTGGCTCAGGGGCAGGACCCAAGCTGTGGTGGCCCCACCCATGCCAATGAGGCTCCCCTCCTCCAAGCAGACTCCCGAGTCCAGTGGCCTCTCGGCCTTCCAGGTGGCTCGGTCCGCTCAGGTGCACCTGCTTGTGCCTACTTCATTCGAGGCAGGCCACAGACGTAAGCACAGGGCCCTGAGGTTGCACTAGGACCCAGAGCAGCCACGGAGCACTGACGAGGGTGCAGAGAGGTGAGTGAGGGAGTAAGGCTTTGTCACCCATCTCTCCCTCCTGTGGCACATAGGGGTGCACCTGCCCAACCTCAGCCAGCTGAAGCTGAACGGCAGCTGCCTGGGCTCCGTGAGGTGAGTGCCCCTCTTGGGCATGGGGGGGGGTCCCCACTGAGAGGCTCCTGGGTGTCCTACTGTCTCCATCTCCTGGCCCTAATGCCCACCCTTCCAGCCTGACTCTGCTACATGTAGCTCATGTCACCCACCCCAGCTGGGTGGAGGCCCCGGCTGAGGGTGACCTATGCCACCCGGAGCCTGTGTTCAGTGTCAGGCCGGTCACACCAGGTCGTGTGGCTGACTGTGGGGTGCTGGAAGGTGCCCCCAACCTTCAGTGAAGGGTCCCCAGCCAGCAAGCAGAGTCCAGTGGGTGCCCCAACACCACCCAAGCCTTCAGGGTTTGGGGCGTCCCGGTACCACTGGGGCTGGGAGCCTGGGGGTCATGCTGGTGCCAATCAGCCCTCGTTCCCAGCAAGAAGAGCAGATGAGCACGGCCTCACATAAAACACAACAGCACTTTAATAATCAACTTAAAAGACAAAATTCAAAACTAAGCACAGATCGATGTCCTTTGTTTACCTCATTGGCTGGAAAGAACCAAGCCGAAGTAATATCAGACCATTTTAGGTGTTCTAGCAAAATGGGTGGCATGAAAACACTGCTGGTTTGGGGCTCCTGGGCAGCTCAGTCGGTCAAGCGTCTGACTCTTGGTTTCAGCTCAGGTCATGGTCCCAGGGTCCTGGGATCGAGACCCACACTGGGCTCCCCGCTCAGTGGGGAGCCTGCTTCTCCCTCTGCCTCTGCCCCTCCCCCCATTCATGCTCTCGCTCTCTCTCGCTCTCTCGCTCGCTCTGTCTCTGACAAATAAATAAAATTTAAAAAATCAAAAAGAATTTAATAAAACACTTGACGATCTGGAAATGGAAGCAAAGAAAGTCGGAAGACCGCGTGGCCCAAGATCCAGAGCAGAGAAGCAGTGAGCCGGGCGTCGTGGCACCACCGCATCTGCACGTGAGGGTCTGGAAACGGGGTTCAGAGACACGCCTCGCATGCGTGGTTAAGCAGTGTTCTGACTGAGAGCTTAACAAAGATGAAAAACTGTATTTATTCCTTCCTTGTTAAGGCATACTAATTAGCTCAATGAAGAATAAGGTCCATGAAGAGCATGTAAAATAAAGGATGAAGGTTATAAAGAGAAGTGCAAATATTATAAAACTAAGAAATCTGACACACCATTTGTGACAACACAATTCCAAGAAAAATGATTAGATCATAAACTGCAAGAAAACATGTTCTGTCCCTTGGTGACAATAGTGAGAAACATAATGAGTCCTGCGGTTCTTTCTGTTATCAGATCCTGAAACTTGGCCACGGGACGTTTGCTAATGTCCATGGGCTAAAGGTGGACAAAAGTTCGTAAAAGGAAACTAATGAAACATGACAGTCCAGTAAACTCCTATTACGACTTAGCTGATAACAACCATATTCAGGACATTAAAATCTCAGGCAGGAGGGGCGCCAGGCTGGCCCAGTCGGAGGAGGGCGCAACTCTGGATCTTTGGGTCCAGAGTTCGAACCCCATGTTGGGCGTAGCGATTACTTGAAAATAAAATAAAATAAAATCTCAGGCAGTATCTTAAGGACTGGAAAATAATTTTAACACAGCGTCTGTCCGTCCATCGGAAGCTGAGAGAGAATTCAGCCCTGGCTGGCGTGAAGAACGGTCCATGCAGTGGGGCTGCTTCCAGACAGCCGCGGACGTGGGAGGAAGGCGCTGCCAGCCTCGGAGGCTTCTGCCCCCAGTCAGCGGCACACAAGAGCAGCTGATCCTTAGTACTAGTTGTGTGGGAAGAAGCACACTCACTAGCTGTTCACTACAGCTTAACCGCGTGCATTTCTCTACTGATGCCGTCGAGTCTTGCTTCTTCGTATGCCTTGTACCAATTCTTCAGGTGGGTTCTCTTTCTTGCTTTCTGGTTCTTTCGTAGACTGAGTGTGGTTTAGATTTGCAAGGTGGTCCCACTCACCCCGGCTGTGGCGGCCTTCACTTGAACAGAAACCCTTCGTTTTGATTCGTCCCATCAATTCTGGTTGGTGATTGGGGTCTTATTTAGGAAGTCCGTTCACACCCCCAAAGTCAGGGGGCTATATTCTACTTTTTCTCTTACTCACTTTTATGGTCTCACCCTTTACTTTCATCCAATTTACCTGTGAGGTCACCTTCAACTGTGGCATGAGGTTGGGACCCAGCTTTATTTCCTGCCATGTAGTGAGTCTGTTTCCCCAACATCATCTACCCAGCAATCCCATTTCCCTGCCAATGGTGGCACCACCCTGCCACTTAGGGGGCCCACATGTGGATTTGACTATGGGAGCTCTGCGTCCCGTCTGCCGGTCTGGTCCTGCCCCAAGGCTGCACTTTGTATTGGTACGGCTTTGTGTTCATTGCTTCGTGTTGGATTCCCTCATCTCAGTGTTCCTTTTCCCAAAATGACCTAGTTATTCCTGAACACTTCTTGCATTTGAAGTTTACGGACTGTTGGTTGGGTTTCACACACAGGAATCTTTCTGGAATTCTTTTTTTAGAATTAAAAAAGATTCATGTGCTAATTTGGATTATTTGCTAGGTCATCTACATTCATGAATATGAGATTGCTCTCCATTCATGTGTTTTTATATATATATATATATTTTTTAAAGATTTTATTTATTTATTCATGAGAGACAGACAGAGAGAG